TTATACTGACTGCAACGACTTTGTCCACATCCTGGGCATGCTCTCCGGGAACCACCGACACCCGCGTCGACTTCAGCTCCATCCACAACACCCACGCTGACAACCACCCACCGCCAAGGTCCTTCAAGTGGGGGCAACGCTGAGTATCTTGGACCAGTATAAGCGGGCCAAAAAAATCTGCCCCCACAGCTATTCATGTAGATTCGCCTGGTCGCCAACCATCATCGTCCCCAAGGCGGTGCAGGTCTCGGCCACTGTGCAGCAGGTGAAGCTAATCACGGCCCCATCTCACTCGCCCGAAGCCACCGCCGACTCCCTCAGCTCTGACGCGTGGTGCTCCGTTGGACACACTTGTCCGGTACTCGCGCGTGGACGACGTCGTCCAAAGCTAATCCCGGTGCGTGAAGGCCGCCGCCTCAAAGCTGGACGACTGACTCACCTGCGTCGACAATGCCGCCCAGCTGGTGAGAGGACATGGTCGCCGCGGCCGCTCGCAGGCCTGAACGACGGAGACGCTCGCCTTCATGCGAACGCACCACACACACGCATTAATCAAGTAAGTATCGAGTGTTACTTTTTTACTGTCATCGCTACCTCGCCGGTGGTGACACATCTAGAAGTACAGGAACTAGAGATGAGGCAGTCAGAAACAGAGGAGCGCTGGAGCACACACAGAGACGTTCACCTTCTTTCTTTCTTTATTTTTTCACTGATTTTCGCGTACCCGCAACAGACATCCCTGTTTTTTCAAGTACTGACTACCGGTTATTACATGGCCAACTCACGACTACATAGTGAACTCACAGACAAATTAGTTGAACCAAGACCTTACTTGCAGTCATGAAATTACGTTTCACTGAAAAAACCCAGAAGTTTGCATAAGTTTTAATGAAAAAAAACTAAAGTTCGCATAAGTTTTACTAAAAAAACCTGAAGTTTGCATAAGTGTATATGTTTGTCTATCTGATACATGGCAATTGTAATTTTACATGAGCATTTTCATACCGTCCTTATCTACAGTCGAGTTAACATGTTTTCCTGATAGAAAATTTGGACTACATACAAGAGAAGCAAAAACTGCATGTTGATTATGATGATGATGAATGTAGGATATTTTGTGATCATGGTAAATTTCATATCATTTAGTACATAAACAATATTCACAATTTTATTTTACTACGATCAATTGTGTTGAGTTTCTTTCATATATATATGTATTGACCCTCTTCTTTAAATTAGATCTGACAGATGCGGAATGAACTCATACCACATGATCGCATACGAGCAATTCAAGAGGAATTGGCGGGATTCTTTCTTGACCATGTCATACATGAAGACGGAGAATGCCATGTGGAAGTTGAAATTGATTTTAGATGTTATGGATTATAAGAGATGTTATATTGTATATATGTAGTAGTGTCGGATAGATATATATAAAAACTTGCTGTTCGATCAATCTCGGAGAAAGAGAGGTCACTTCTCTCTGTATATGTTCATGACGATCTTGTGTAATTCTTGACTGGAATTTGTTGGCACCGAAACGGTTCCTTAGCTTGTCCTAAGTGACATTTTCATGTGTGACTATACTTGCATAAATGTGTGCATATGAAGAATCATGATGAATCTTCTAAATAATTTTGAATTTTATATATTGAGAAAAGTGGGTGGTCTTTTAATACATGAGACATGTTGATTAAGGAGAAACGATATTTCAAATTATTTGTATGAGTTGGAAATAAGAGATCGTGTACTTTATAGGGAAATTTTAAATTTATGAATAAATTATCTTGTATTAAGTTTAGTATAATATATTAATCCAAATAGATGCGTATTGCATGTGCACACTTATTAGTTCAAATAGACGTGCATTGCACGTGCACACTTACTAGTTGTTTGTTAATTGGCGGCAACGATCGCCCCGGAACGCCCCACAGCATATTCGCCTCCACCCCGCCCCTGATCCCCCAACCGGCATCAGCATCAGCTGCAGCTGCTTCCCCTGCGATACCACCCCCGACCCCCCAATCATCTCCGGCAGCGTCAGCATCAGCATCACCTCCCCAGTTCAAAAATATACTCAGCAGAGCAAGTTTAATTAGGAGAGAGAGAGAGAGAGGATCCAAGAGAGTTATAGTTTCCTCTTTTTTTCTAGAGCGAGATAGGGGGGAAAGGGGAAGTAGTATAAGTAGGGTGAATCGCCGCCCATTGGCGCACATAATTTTTTGGAATAGCAAGTAGGAGGAGGGAAGGAAAGCTATAAATTTAGTGCTGCGAGTATATAGGGAAATCGCTATAAGTAAACGTTCTATACCGGGAATAGCCGGCCGTCCGACCGTCCGTCCGGGAGGAAAGAAACGAGCCATGGGGGACGGTGGTGGTGGTGATGGCGCCGCCGCCTCCTCGTCGCCGCCGGCCGCCGCGGCCGCCCCGGGGTTCTCCTACCTCGCCGTCTTCCACAACTTCCCCCTCGTCGCCGCGCTGCTCGGCTTCGCCATCGCGCAGTCCATCAAGTTCTTCCTCACCAGGTGATTAATTCCTCATTCGCTCCTCCTCATTTGGCCTTTTGCTTCGTCCTCCCCTGGCCATAGCAGCGCCTTCCTCGCGCGTGGTCTGGTGGTGTTTGACCGTCGAATCGCCGCCCCGGGTCAAAGCTGGTCTTCACTCGCTTGTTACGCTCGCTCGGCGTGGGGAATCGTTGAGGCACTCCGATCTGGCGTTGGCAGCTGGTTCCCTCCGATCCTCTGATTCTGCTCTGCTCTGCTATGCTCGTTGGGGATGATGCTACGCTGGAGAATGCGATTCCCTGTGGAATTGTTCACTTCTATCTTATCTTAGGGGGAACAAAAATGGTCTGGGAGCATAAGATAAGAGAAATCGCCGCGATCTCTTCAAATAAGCATGAGATTTGGTGGGTCCTTGCCTGTTCTGGGGTGGAATTTGCATTTCTTCAGCTTGGATGCATTTCTTCAGTTCCAAAATACTCCCTCCGTCCGAAAATATTTGTCGCAGAAATGCATAAAAATGGATGTATCTAAAATTAAAATACGTTTAGATACATCCATTCCGCCGACAAGTATTTCCGGATTGAGGGAGTAATAAATAAAAATGCATCGCTAGATTGCAGTTCACACATCTAAACAAACGCTGCAATCCACATGTTCTCGGACTGCGTGCTTCGTTTCATTCGGGGGCCCTTGACCTCGACCATCCAAAAAAGATATTCATACGAGACAGAAACAAACAGAGAAATTCGATAAATTTGGGCGTTAGCATGATCTGACCTAAGCCATTTTCCTCATTAGACAACTTATGTGCCTTTATTCACAAAAAAAATAGAAAAAATACGCACTTTCTGTGCTTGTTAATTGTTGCAGTAAGTTTTCATACACAAATGCTGCTGCAATAGGTCTGATGTGCATTACTTCTTGACTGAATGAAGGTATAAGGAGAAGAGATGGGATCCTAAGCGGCTTATCGGCTCCGGTGGCATGCCGTCATCGCATTCCGCGACCGTTACAGCGTTATCAGTAGCCATTGGCTTCCAAGAGGGCTTCGGCAGTGCCCTCTTTGCCACATCAACGATATTCGCAAGTGTGGTAGGTTATCCATCCCATCCCATCCCATCCCATCCCCTGTTTGTTTATGAAGAAGAAAAAGATGTTGCTTCTTGGACATAAGAGCTCTACCATGAGCTTGACATTAAAATGTTGAGTGCAAGCATCGTGCAGGATTTTATACTTAATTTCCTGTCTGTTGATTCATGACGACAAGGTCTTTGAGTTTCGATTTTGTCACTTGATTGGCAGGTGATGTACGATGCTTCTGGTGTCAGATTGCATGCTGGAAAGCAAGCAGCGGTATGTAACATCTGCTCTGATTTTTGTGATTGTATATGCTTTGATGTTCTGAGTTTTGCAACTATGTTGAGCTTTGTCCTGACTTTTTCCATTCTTTAGGTGTTGAACCAAATAGTCTGTGAACTACCGGCTGAACATCCCTTGGCTGAAACAAGACCATTGCGTGAACTTTTAGGCCATACACCGACCCAGGTATGCTCAAGTGTCCTTTTCATTGTCCATTTTAGTATAGTTTGGCAGTTCGAAAGCGATGCCATATTTTTACCGCGATTGCCCGTTCGCCAGCTGAGCTTAATTGCCCGTTCTGCCCTTCCATGATCGTACCTAAAAACTTATCGCCCACTCAAATTTGCTGCCAGGTTGTCGCCGGTGCGGTGCTTGGGTGTATGATAGGTATTGCAGGGCAAATTATCATTGCAGTGACCAGTGTTGTATGATGCTGCTGTGTCTCAAGGTGCAGGAGAATTGCTAGTGCTTGCAGAGACCTGAGAAGAAGCAGCTTCTCTGGTGTTTCTGTGACTTAGGTATCGGTTCGATGTGTAATGATGTGCCGTAGTGCTGTTGAAGATTGAATCAAGTTTTGATAGCACATAATTGTATGTTCAGGTGATGTTCTCAGGCTTTGATGTACAGAATATCTATTCGATAACTTCATTGCTCTAGTGAAAGCTAGAAAGTGGCTGCATCACTAGTTATAATGTCTCGCTAATTCTGTTCTTTACGCCTGTTTAGATAGGGATGGCTCGCGTTAGAACTCATGGGGTTTAGTGCATAATAAAACTCACTTTTTTGGGGGGCAAGATGGATCTGTATCCTGATTCTTGGGGTTCAGTGTAACAAAACAAATCACAACAAAAACACTTGGTCCAAGCACTCCCTGTTGATTAGTACAAGAAGCTGACAGCCAACATATCTAAAGCATGATGTAACAAAAATAATTTTATTCACATTGATGTAACATCTCTGGGAAGTTCATGTCAAATGTATGATAATGTAACCAACATGTGTGAGAAGATATCAACAAACAAACCTGACGGTCATGTACATGCAAATAATGCAGTGTCACGTCTAGTGGCCGAGGTTCTAAGTTATACTTATTGACACTGGAACCCAGTCAGTCACTGAATGTATATCTGGGCATTCTTACACCTGGGGCCTATTTAAACTCAAAATTTGAGAAAAGACTCTCCTAACGTCTGAATAAGCATCTCTCACCATGTCAGGTTCTGCTCTCCATGCTATGTGCTCATCAGGCCTAACCAAAATAACACTTTTGTTATTTACCTGACACATCTCCCACCATGATGAGTTCACAGTTGCCCTTGGTATTTCCTCGACATCGACATAGTTTGTCCAGGGTGCCAACTCAGATATGCTCCCTTTCGCTTCCACGTCCCTTGAACCTTGTGGCCACATGACACAAACTTTGGCTGATAGCTCGAATTCATCTGCTATCATCAGCATAGCCTGGGCAAGCTTATATGACTCTTTCAGTGGTGCAATGATGATAACAAACTCAATTTTATCCCCACTTACTAGGTCCAGTGTTGAGAACACACCCTGTAAGGAGTCATCACGCACACGGTTTACACGAAGGTACAGGAATGGCTAAAAAAGAATGTGCTGCCAATTAGGTGTCAAAGGGTCGAACCTCACTCGAAGCGGACAGTGGTCTCACCAGCATGTGTGGTAGCCGTGAACCAACCTTAGCAGAAGGAATGTACTCTCCTGATGACCTCTTAGAATGCTTCAGTTCTTCTGCTTGATAAGTGCTCTCAGCACAATCTTCAGCAACTAGGGCTCCTTTTCCATAGCTGAAAGTGCACATATTAGATCTAGGTCAGAAACTTGCCTATTTGATTATACTTGGTGAGAATATAGCATTATCGCTCGAAGGGATCTACTCATGTATTCCATCAACTAAACTGAAAAGGAAGATAAATTCTAAAGTTCTTTTGAAGAATCATTCACAGTAAGGAGGCTAACCGGAAGCCAAGATCCTCTGCAGGGAACTGCAGCTGTAGACTTTTTCCTTCATCAAGAATACTTCTCAATCTTGCTAGTCTCAAGGATCCAAGGGGATTGTTCTCACTCAAAATGTAGTCCGAGACTTGTGTCCGACCAATGGAAAATAATCCTTCCAGAACCACCTTCTGTACATTTCTTGGAATGATTGATCCTAGGCTGCTGTTGATTACTCTGTGCACTGATAGAAACATGTGAGGGATGCGTATAAGGGGCAAGTTACAAACATTCAACTGTTAACTTAACCATAGTTGTACATGTTGTCAATATTTACTTTTCAAAGAGAATAGCAATAAATTGTGCACAGCCCTCTTACAGGAGCAGGGTACTTTACCTGAGTTTGCAATGGTTGGATCAAGACCAAGGGTAGCAGGAATAGACATTGCTGCCTTGAAGTTTTCCAAACTAAGTTCTGTGTTAAAAATGGCAACCTGTATAAAGAAGCATGAATGCAGTTTCAGTATATTTGTAGCAGAGATGTTAACATTGAACGAACAGAAGCATGCAAGAAGAATCTAACAGGTTTGCGCTCTGACTCATAAGTTTGTATAATTGATGGGTCAGCGATGCCATTTAGAAGTAAACACAATTTCCAAGCCAAATTATGTGCATCCTGAACACCAGTGTTCATTCCTGCGAAAATATGTCAGGAAGTGCACATTTCTTTATACATTTGAACTTCAGATACATAATAAAGAGCTCAACATGGTAATATTGCAGTATCAAATTTGAAAATAACTACTAACCAAAACCACCAGCAGGAGGAAAGCGGTGAGCAGCATCACCAACTAGGATTACACGATTGTCGCAGCCAACATATTTCTCTGCAACTTCAGCATGCATTGCCCATGGTTTTATGTCTAAAACCTGAATATCTGCTGGCTCCCATCCAACCAATTTGACAATAATTTGCTCGCACACCTAGAACCAAATGGGAAATACATATGGGGGGAAAGGGTAAGGAGGCGTGTAAATATTGGCATAAAATTTACTCTGCAGACTAGAAATCTACAGAACAAGTATTTCAGAACTGTAAGGACTGCAAATAAGTTCTTGAAAGAATACAGACTGGGTGCCGAACATAATTTTTAGTAGATGTTCACAGGTGAATGAGGTGGGAAATGCCAAAAACTAGAAATTGAGAAAAATATTCAACTGAAATCACCTTTGCACTAAAATCCTCAAACATCTGCTGAGGTGGATAAAATGGAACCTGAACATGAAACAGAAGATAAATTAACAGCTAGATAACTAATCATCCTACTTCCTTCAGCATAAAGGGCATCTGACGCACAACAGTCTGCTAATTTGATATACCTGCAACACAAATTCCCCATGCTCCAGGTCATGTGCCACAAGCACACCAATTGCATCAGGGTTGAAAATAAAGAACAGCATGCCAGGCCTCTCACTAGATAAATACTTTCCAAGATCCCTGCTCACAAAATGAACACTGACCAATTTCTGCAAGTCCCTTTCACCTTTCATAGATATACCAGCCAACTCACGCACTTTGCTCCTAGCGCCATCTGCCCCTAGAAGAAGGCCACAGTGAAGCTTCCTCTCCTGCACCCTCCCCCCATTGTTAAACGATGCTCCAACCAAAATACCATCATTGGTCAGCTGAATGGAACTACACTCGTGCCCCATCAGTATCTTGTTTTCCAGCAGCAAATCTTGAGTGGAGCTACCGCCAAGCTCATCAGGAAAGCACGTCTGAAAGCCAACGCCATCCAGTTTCTTGAGTAGCAAATCCACTAGCTTGTACTGCGAGAAGTGTGCGACCGATATAGGACTAATGACCTTGTTGAAATCTGCACAAAACAATCGTCAGCGGATCGATGTATGCAGCGATATGCAAAACATCACACACTCGACATGGAAAGAACTAAACATGCCTTCCTGCTTCATGTGATCAACCGAACCAAGAATGGATCCGGAGAGCGAGGTACAGTACACGAACTTCCTCCACAGATCCACCGGCGGCTGAGCCCTCTCGATGTCCCCGGCCAAGCCGTCAAACTTGCGGAAGATCTGCCAACACCACCCAAACCTATGAAATCACCACCCACACAACACACACGAAAGGCTGGAATGGCAATGTTGGGGGTGCGCTTGGCAGATAACTGATAACACACCTCCATGGTGCGGTTGTTGATGAAATGCGCTCGGGGATGCCGAGTGAACTCCATGCTTCTCTCGAGGACCGTGCATTTGATGCCTGCGAGGTTTCAACAAAACGAAGTGTCAAATTTATCAGCTGGGCTCCGATTGATCCACTGAACATCTGATTGGTACTAAGGGGCGACTTCGCAGGTGCTCACAAACAAATCCTCGCCCCGCGCCTACTGTAGCGCGAAGCAGAGCAGAGCTCCGGAGGTTGGCGGCGCTTACCGAATTTGGCGAGGAGGAAGGAGAGGGCGAGCCCGACGGGTCCGGCCCCGACGATGACCACGGGCAGATGCGGCGCGTCGCCGCCGCTGCCGCTGGCGAGGGACGAGAGGAGCGGGCGCTGGAGGCGGCGGAGGCGCAGCCAGGAGATGCCCCTGCCCGCGGAGAAGAGGCGCCAGCCTCCTCCGCCGGCGATTGACGGCATCGTGGCCTCGGTGGTGGCCGCGCAGGCTGCCGCGGTTTGCAGGAGGGGGTTGTGGGTTTAGAACGCGTACGAAAAAGCTGTTGGGCCGATGGGAGTTGAGCGATGGCGCCTGCGATAAGTACGCCTTCTACCTTAGAAGGCAGGTACCTCAGAGACCAGTCCCCGGCTCAGCTGCTCCCCGCCGCGGCCATCTCCGGCGACATGGCCGGCGGGTAACCCCTCAATCTCCCGCCGCTGCTCCTCTCTCTGCCTCGACCCCTCATGCCGCCGCCCCCATCTCCAGCAGCAATCCGGCCAGCGCACAACTCCGGCGGACGCCGCCCCCACTCTGGCCGACGCACCAGTCCGGCGGACGGAGCCCCGTTCCCCTTCCCCTCCTCCCAGTCCGGGGCCTAGAGACCGAGCATGAGCTCGTCTGTAAGGTGAGGAACATCCTCTGTTTCTTTGCAAAAAAAGTTCATGTAGGTTTGCTATGTAGCTGCTGATATTATTATTTTTTGAAACGAGGCAAAAGACTCGCCATTTTTGTTGATTAAGAAGAAGAGAATTACCTGATTAATTGACGGAAAACCAGACTAAACCGATACAACACAATCCACATGACATGGGCATCACCGGCCAACCTGGCCACCGACATGGAACAGAAGCCACGATGGCACATGCCAACGGATGGCCACACGCGCAAGCAACCGACAGCTCCGACTTTGACGACGAGCAACACAAGGAAAATATGCAGGACTTGTGCTGACTGTGCCCTCTGCACACGACCACCGAATGCCTGTCATCGTCACCACCTGGACCCGCTCCAACGCTGCTCCGACTTCAAAGCAACCAAGCAACCACAGAAGAGCACTTCGGACACGCCGGGAAGAACCGACTACCGAAGACCACGCCACGACCCAAGCTCCTCTCGACGCCATCATTGTTGCCAAACAGAAACCAGCTCCCCGCCTCAACAAACCACGCGGCGAAGATGCCGCCATCAACGGCAAAGATGCCATCATCCACCAACCTCTTAGTTGTAGCCGGCTCCGAGACGAAACCCCCAAGGAGGAGAAAGACGCGTAGACGCCTCCATCGCCCGATCCAGCGGATCTGAGGTTTCCCTCCGGAGTCAAAGCCGTGTGGAGGAGGAGCACCTCCACGAAGACGCTTTCAAGAAAGATCGCGGCACCAGCGGGCATCGCCGTCGCCGGCTCCGGTGAAGACTGAAGCAAGGATTTCTCCCGAAGATCTGCCGACCACCTGCCACCATCGACCGCCGCCCACTAACCACCACCCCTCTAAGGCCGACCTCACTCTAGCCACGGGATCCCACGATCCACCGCGACCAGACACGCGCCACCCCCTGGCCAAAGCCGCCACCACCACACCCGAGGCCGCCGCCCCAGAGTCCAAGAGCCGCCATGTCATCGTCTTCATCGTCAGCAGTAGGCCGGCCAGGCCCGACGGCATGGAATCCACATCGCAGAGCTGGAGGCGAGGGAGGACCTGACCAGACTGTGACCTCGCCGCAAGCCTTGCCTCGGTGGGCCGGAGGGCAGCCAAAGCCGCCACCGGGAGGCTATAGCCGAGCCGCACCATATCTGAATCGCCAGAAGCCAAAGCCGCATGAGCGAGATGGAGCCGCTGCAGCCGCTTAGCCTCGACCCACCGCTGGACGTCGTGAGGCCGCCGCCATAGCCGCGCCAACTCGCTGCACCACCGAAGGAGCAGCTGCCGCCGTGGGACCCGTTGCCTGGACCACCACCACCCTGAGCGGGGGAGAAGGCGTGCAGAGCACCGACGGCCGAGCCGACCATGCGGTCACGCAGCCGCCACCGCCGGAGCACCGCCCAGTCTCGCCGAGCGCGCCACGCCGTCCAGGGCCGGTCTCGGAATGCATCTACGCGATAAAAGCCCGTCGTCGCCGGCTGCCGCGCGGGCTTTGCTCGGCAGCGACGCCCAACGACGACGGGAGGGGCGGGGGAGGAGCGGGTGGGGTGGCGGCAGCGGCGCTAGGGTACGCTCGGGCCGCTCCCCTGGAGAGCGACGCGAGCGGGCCTGCTAAAGTTCTAAGGAACCATGTAGCTGCTAATTTATAATGTTTTCATTTGATTTGTTTAATCAGAACAACAATATAGTCCAAGGGTATTATGGACTTTTCATTGACCATACCACAAGTAAGCTGAAAAAACATACACCAAAAAGAACTCGCTAGCTTATTATCTGGAGCCTATTTTCATAGAAGCTTATCTGAAGCTTATTTCACATGAGCTTATTTCCATAGGACACCTCAAAAGAACTGGCCCTAAGGCAGTAACTAAAATGGCCGCTCCAGCTGTAAATAAGTACCCCCTTCGTTCCTAAATATTTGTCTTTCTAGACATTTCAAATGGACACAACATACGGATGTATGTAGACTTATTTTAGAGTGTAGATTCACTCATTTCGCTCCGTATGTAGTCACTTGTTAAAATCTCTAGAAAGACAAATATTTAAGAACGGAGGGAGTAGAAAAGAAAAAACTACATGGATGCTCCCAAATCGACAGTGGATAAATGAATACGGCGAAAATTTGAAAAATTCCACTGAATTTTGAAGCTTTTGTAGTAGGCAAAGGGTACGTGCTACGTCGCTGAAAAAATAAGATTAGAAACAATCATAGTTTGAGTCAAAACAAGTATCTCTCTAGTCTCTATCCTAATACGTAGTACAAAGTTGAGACACATATTTTGAGACGGAGGGAGTAATTATCCTTTCCGGATTTACCATTTTACGGAGCTTTCACTCGTTCGTTCTCATTTCCAGCAGATGCCAAGGGCAAAGGTTTGCTGTTTAATAACGTAAGATACAAATGTCATGGGGGACAAAGCTGAGTGAATTCATCAATAGCAAATAGCTTTTCAACCATCCTTACAAGAGACATGTTTTATCAGACTCTGCACGAACGAACGATCCTTGCACCCTCTTCACTCAAAAAATTTACATTTCGTCCCAAGGGCTACACGGCGTTTACAGGGAAACAAGGCGAGCATTTGAGGTTCAATTTTTCGGACAAGAACAGTGTCATATCTCCTGTTTATGTCCCTACAACAAAAGAAATCGTCTACATCTGCACAGCGAATAACTACAACTCAAAGCTTGGAGGCACCCATGGACAGGGCCTGCTGCACAAGCTCCCGCCGCAAGATCTTTCCCGCAGGCGATTTCGGTATTGCATTGACGAAAGCCACTCGGCGGACTTTCTTGTAGGGCGCAACCTGTCGAACGATAAACATTTAGATATGCTTTTAGTGTCTAAGTGGCAATGCATTGTTAAAAAGCATATGCTGCATACATAAAGGTGCATTTATGCCTTCTTTTTTGTTACACTATTGATGCGGGTATCTTCAAAACAACTATAATTTCGTGTTGCTACATGTGTTGTGTGCATACCACACATGCACAGCTTGCTCGTGTATTGACATGTGGCTTTGTTTGGAGCGCAGTGATACAATTTGATGATCCCACCACCAGTCCTCTATAGCTTTTGCGACAATATATACCAATATGGTACATACTATTTCAATGTTGCAGCTCGATCACGGGGGAAAAAATGTTAAAATGCCTTAATAGGCAGAGAGACAGTGTCACTAACAATACTACAACATTACTAGGATCTAACTCAACTTGCAATCATGGTGCTCAGCTTGCTTGCCAAAAAGTAAAATAAAGCTGATTATGATGGACACTTTTAACTCAGCACCGAACTATATTTGGTAGCAGGATTAGGATAATGAGAAGGAGAAACTTACATGTTTAGCCACGTAATCCATGACTTGTTGGCCAGTAAGGTTGAAACCTGGTTGCCTCACTATAAAAGCCATTGGCAGTTGCCCAGCATCTTCATCTGGATATCTGCATATTGCATATGAGGGGGCATCTTATATACTGCCACATGCTGAACAGAGCATCATACCATATGTTTAGCTTTTAGGAATACGTGATTCATTAGAATTTTCACCAAGTTTACTGCAGTTCATACTAAAGGTTGGACTTACCCGATAACTGCAGCATCAGCGATTCCAGGATGTGATTGTAGAGTATGCTCCAGTTCAGCTGGAGGCACCTGAGATAGGATGTACTTATATCAGTAACGTGCAGACAGAATCTTGCGAGGCAAAATTCTTCAATGATAATGTAATTGTACCTGGTATCCTTTGTACTTTATCAACTCCTTCAAACGATCAACAATGTAGAGAAATCCATCTTCATTGAAGTAGCAAAGGTCGCCAGTTTTCAGCCAGCCATCTGAGTCCACTGTTTCTGCCGTTGCTTTGTCGTCACCGACATAACCTGAACCCAATAATAATAAGGCAAAAGCAACAATGTTTAGATCAATTGTATACTTGTATTCGGGCTCTTGTCTGCATAAGCTTTTTAAAACTATTAGTGGTACGATCTATAATCTGGCAAGTAACATTTCCGTTCAAGTAAATGTTTAGATCAGTTGTAATCTCACTTACAAAGCATTGAAAACATTTTGGTTCTCCATACCAAACTGTAAGGCGTACCCATAGCTGACAGCAGATATGAGATATATATCAGTTCTAATAGGTGATTTTGATTAACACGTTCCAATAGCATATCACTGGCATGCTGGCATGACTATATATATTACGCAGGAGAACGAGCATCCCTGCATTGCTGCCAGGTTTGAAGATTACTCTTATTGAATTCGGCCACCAGTATTTTTGGTTGGATAAATATCTGCAACTACATCAATTAACGGAAAAGTCATCACATCACCATCACATTGTTATGGACATACACAGCTTTCACGTGATAAGTGCTGGTAAAGAAATATAAGAGAGTTTATATCACAAAAAGAGAATCAAACGACGACATAATAGTACTTTCTCAGTAAAGAAAAATAAGAGCGTGATCTAAAGACGGCATAATAATACTTTCTCAGTAAAGAAATATTAGAGCGTGATTTAAACGCTCTTATATTTCTTTATGGAGGGAGTAGTTAAGTA